GGGGACATATTCTGTCTCCATTTGTAGATCTTTTTTCAAAGAATACAAATTTTACAAGAAAACTGAAAATAGATTCTGGATATGAGAGTGAAAACGAATCACGAATCTACAAGATTTTTTCTTCAAAAGCAGATGCATGGAAGGGTAAAAAAGGAAGTTCATGGTCACAGAAAGGAAACGAAAGAGTAGAGTCTTTTGATCCTATATTTGGTAGGTTTGGTTGGCAAAGGTTAGATATCAATCAAGAACACGAACCTTGTCCAAAAATAAGCTCTTGTGTTTCGTCAAAACAAGACTTTCAACTATTGGAAAATACCAACAACAGCAATAACAAAATCGAGGCTTCAGGGTTGTGGTTTTCTTCATTACATGTTAGTAAAAGTACTACAAGTAACTCAAGTAGCTCAAGCAGCATTACAAGCATCAAAAGCAATGCCATCATCAAAGAGGAGAGTAGTGAAATCTTGTGGGAGGATTTGATAATGGGAGAACAGATTGGACAAGGTAAGAGAAGGGTATTGTAGTCATTTGGCAAACTATCAAATTATATTTTTTTTGATATTTTATGTTTTTGGTATAGGTTCATGTGGGACTGTATATCGTGCACTGTGGTATGGATCAGTATGTTCTCCATCTCTGACTTGATTATAATTTATATCTCTTGTATAAAAAATCAATCAATTTATGTATACAGGATGTTGCGATCAAGTTATTTGAATATCAAGAGTATCCAGATGATTTGATGGTATCATTTAAACAGGAGGTAACTATTATTTTCGTTAATGCATATAACACTTTTCAACGATGTGATTGTTTAAATTGCATCCATTTTTTTTTTGAAGGTATCTCTAATGAAAAAGCTTCGACATCCAAATATTTTGCTCTTCATGGGTTGCGTGACCTCGCCTCCGCATTTATCCATTGTCACAGAGTTCCTTCCGCGGTTGGTTCTTAAATCCCATAAAATTTTCAATGTATATATATATATATATTTTTTTAATAAAACGTATGACAATATGCATAAATAATCTCAATTGATAATTTGATTAATGTGGATGTATACAGTACTCTTTTTTTAAAATTGACTTATGTTGCGTAGTGGAAGTCTGTTTCGGATACTTCAGCGAAATACAACCCGATTAGATTGGAAACGTCGTCTACATATGGCGATGGATATCGTAAGTAGCATCAAGCATGCTAATTAGTAATTAACTAATTATCATCTTTTTTTGATTTTTTTTTTTTTTTTTTTTTTTTTGTGTTATTTGTGATTCTCTCAAGGCACGAGGCATGAATTATCTTCATCATTGCAAACCACCGATTATTCACCGTGATTTGAAGTCTTCAAATCTTCTTGTGGATAAGAATTGGACAGTGAAGGTATGGTTTTGAATTTTGACTACCCTTTATGGTTCGTGGCATTAATTTGTGTATGTTTTTCTGACTAATTAATAGTTATAATAATATGATATATTTTAGGTCGGTGACTTTGGTCTCTCTCGTGTCAAGCATCACACGTACCTCAAAACAAAGTCGGGGAGAGGAACGGTATTTCAATATTCTTTCTTGATTTAGACTCCCCTAATTTGTTCCAAAAATAACAATCAAGAAGCCTTTTTTTTTTTTTTTTTGTAGCCTCAATGGATGGCTCCAGAGATCCTACGTAATGAGGAAGCAGATGAAAAGTAAGCCTGTATCCAAGGGAAAAAAAAAATATTTTTTTCTAATGAATTTTGGAATCCAATATTTGGTTTGTTTGTTGGCAATCTTTAGGTCTGATGTATACAGCTATGGTGTGGTATTGTGGGAAATTACCACTGAGAAGATCCCATGGAATGATCTTAACCCGATGCAGGTATATATGCTATTCTCGAGTTATTTTTAAAAGCTGTTTGTTTGACCTCAAAAGTCAAAATATCTAGTTTTGCTTGACTCTGGATGTCAAACATCGTGGTTTCTAAAAGCAAAACCAATTTGTAAATTGTTTAAATTTAACTCCCGAGTTCTATCCAGTGTTCGTCTTTTGTGTGTATGATACTTGTACAAATGTAAATCCAGTGATCATTATAAAGATAAATGCAAACTGCAAATTTTACTTAATTATGATACTTCTTAATAGGTTATTGGAGCAGTAGGGTTCATGAATCGACGACTAGAGATTCCAAAAGACGTGGATCCACTGTGGGCTTCACTTATCCAAAGCTGTTGGTGCAGGTTGGCCTCTTTCTCATGAAAATGTTAATTGGACAAATATTGAAATGTTTAAAATATCCTTTACAATTGATGGTGGATATATATATATATATATATATATATATATATATATTTCCTTTTCTATGTTCAGTGAACCACAATCCCGACCAACATTCCAAGAAATACTAAATAAGTTTAAAGATTTGCAAAAGAAGTATGTGGTTGAACGCAGGCGAAAGGAACCATAAAACAAATCTTGTGCATGCTTGGTTTCTTCTCTTCTCAGTTTTCACCATTTTTCCTTTGAAAGAATTACATTTGATTCGGTTACACAAACAAGGGAAGCAAGCTGGACTTCTTACATATTTGGAGGCGAATGGGATTTTCATGACATGTTCCACATGTGGTATACGCGAAAGCGCTTCGCGATGGAGGATAAAGTGATACCGATATTCCAAATTGGGATGCACAAAGAGAAACGACTCATGGAACGAAAGCCAAAGAAGCATCAATAAAGAAATCAAATTTTGTATTAGTCAATAGTGAGGTGGAAGCATAATTATTTTGGGGCGACTCTTATGTAGGAGACCGAGTAAGAAATGTTAGAGAAATTCCCCCATTTGTTTTTGTGCAAATAGATTTCACAACAAAATCCTCTCAAGGGAGGAGAGTGTATGCCGACGAATTTCCATAGTTACGAGTGTATAGTAACACAGGGGGTGTTTGGGTTTGCTTGTTAATAATCATTTTTGAGTGTTTAGATGAAATTAATGTAGACAAAATTGCAAAAATGGTCCCTGTGGTATGTATTTTTTTGGGGTTTCAGTCAAAACCTCGACTTTTTTGGATTCATGGTTCTTTTGGCCTAGTTTGTACGTAGAAATGATCCCTCGATTTAATTTCTGTTAAGTTATTGCTGTTAACTCCCTCATGTGCATCTAACATGAGGGTATATTTGTTTTTTCACATATAAAGGATTATTTTTCACCTAAAAAATATACATTTTTTTTAAATATTAATTTATACCTATTTATTTATTTTAATAATTAAAAAATAAAAAAGTCTCTCTCTCTCTCTCTCTCTCTCTCTCTCTCTCTCTCTCTCTCATCGTCTTCGACATAGTGATTAAACCCACCGTCTTCTACATTGTAACTCATACATACACATATACATACTCTGAAAATCAATTATGCAAATCATTTTTTATTTTGTTTATGGGCCAGACTAACACCAACCACATCAGTCATCCCACCACACCTGTTGTGAATCGGATTTCAAGATCATACATTTTCTTCTTCGCGAGGGTATATATTGTTTTGCTTTATACTTGCTTGTGAGGAGAGGGAGGCTCTGTTATGGATAATCGATTCAGAAGGAGATGAAAAGAACCTGAAATGTTTCATCAAAAGTGCAGAGAAATGATAAGCCTTCCAGCCAGCTAGATAGAGTAGGAATCAAACCTCATGTAATATCTTTATAAGCTCATCAACTACAAGAGTTTTAGAGAGAGAAAGACTAACTTGTTTCTATTAGATATTGGGTTTTGGAGATATACAGGTCTGATTTCATAGGTTTTTTTTTTTTTTTTTTTTTTTTACATACGTCTGAATTCCAAAATTTATCCTCTTGAATGAGGATCAGACGATTTCATTTTGCCCAGATTTATATGATCTTACAATTCTTTGTTTCTCTCCTGAATAGGAGGTTCGGTTCAACAACAGTCAATCGATGGATGATTAGATGGGGATAATCTCCATACCATTTTACCCATTTTCCTTTCTGTGATTCCAAACCCCAACCCTTCCTTCTATCTCCTTCTTCTTTAGAATCAATAATTGTGGAGATTTGGGGTTTTAATTTCGAAGGTGTGCATTACAGGACTATCAATCAAAACACCGCCAGAAGATGTATGACATCGAGATGGAGGTGAATCCGGTGACGATTTCAAAGGGAAACACTGAATCTGAATCTCCATCGATGGAAGATGCTTGGGGGGTGACGAAAGGGGATTTTTAGATAGATAGATAGATAGATAGATAGATAGATAGATAGATAGATAGATAGAGAGAGAGAGGGAGGGAGGGAGAGAGAAAGAGAGAGAGAGAGAGAGAGAGAGAGAGAGAGAGGGAGAGAGAGAGGGAGGGAGAGAGAGAGAGTGAGAGAGAGAGAGAGACATTTTTTATTTTTTAATTATTAAAATAAATAAATAGGTATTAATTAATATTAAAAAAAAAAGATATATTTTTTAGATGCAAAAATGATCCTTTATATGTGAAAAGACAAATATACCCTCATGTGAGATGAACATGAGGGGGTTAACAGCAATAACTTAACGAAAGTTAAGTCGAGGGACCATTTCTACGTACAAACTAGGCTAAAAGGACCATGAATAAAAAAAAAAGTTGAGTTTTGGACTGAAACCCCAAAAAAATGCATACTACAGGGACCATTTTTGCAATTTTGTCATTAATATATATATATATATATATATATATATATATATATATATATATATATATATATATATATATATTATATAATATATATATATATATATATATATATATATTAGTGCATTTATGCACACGATAGTTGTCAAAAACATTTGAACCTAGTTCAAATGTTTTTGACAACTATTGTGTGCATAAATGCACTAATAGGAATTCAGGAAAAAATTAATTCTTAAATAATCAAGATAAGGCTAGATATGTAATTTTGCATAAAAAGTAAATAATAACCAAAACTAAATCCCTTGATTCATGGATCAAATCCCTCAAATTAGACCACCGATTCCCCCTTTTCTCTAAAAATCATCGTTTACACCCGCCGGATCGCTAGCAACTTCTCTTCTATCGTCGTCTCTGTATACAAACATCTACACGTCTCACACACACAAGCAAAAGCCTCTATGATGGTATCCCTCTTCTCCGTATCTGCCTCAATCGTCTTACATCCAGGAACCCCCTTCCACCACCACCGGAGAATCCATCTACGTTACTCCTCCTTTTACACCTCATGCCTTCATCCCGATCACCGCCATCCTTCCCGATATCCCTCAACCTTCGTGACCCCTTCAAACCCTAAACTAAAACCGTATAGAAGCAGAGTCGATGGTATGGCATGTAAATTGAATGTTGTAGAAAATCGAGGAGAAAGTAAAGGGGAAGATGAAGGTATAATTTATCTCCGATCACTATTTTTTCGATTATAAATCTGAATTTTTCCATTAAATATTATGATTAGTTTTTTTTTGTTTTTTTGTTTTTATCTTTTTTTGTACGAATCGGTCATATTTGCTTGTTTTCATTGATTTGTCAAGTAATTGAAACTCACTCCTCCACAGATTCAGATTAGATTAAAAACTAGGATCTTCAAGGTGCCTTCTATGCATTTGACTAACTCGTTATTCTGATGTATTGATTTAGTGCTGGAAGCCAATCCAGTTGGTGGTCTTGCTTATTATGTTACTGCACCTTCTCAAGGTAATGACTGACTCCATTCCATATTTCCATTCCATTCACATTCCTTGATTTGTGATGATTTATTGTTATTTTGATGTATTGATTTGGAATACAATTCTAGGTTGTTTGTGCCTTTTTATTTTTCATCAACACAAATTAATTTACTCTTTGAACCTTTTGGTAAGCATTCTAAATCAAATATGTTGCTGGAAATTATGTTTATAGGTAAACTATTGCAAGTAAATTAAATATGTTTTTTTGGCTTGTTTGATGATAATGTCTAACAAGTGTTTGTTGAAATATCTGAAAGAGAATTTAAAGAATTTAACCTTGTGGTATGCATTCTATCATAATTACTAGGAACACATGTTTTATGTAATTGTTTAAAAAGATAATTAATTTGTCTGTGTATTATTTTGGTTCAATTTGTGATTTTGAATTCCAATTTCTATTGTCCCTCGTTATTGTATATTTGAAATCTAAAATTATATTAACAGTAAATACAATACCTTTGAATGTATTCTATATATTCTATCAGAATGTATTCTACCAGAATAAAATCGATGTATTCTGCCCGAATATATTATATGTATTCTGTCATATTCTATGTATTTTACCAGAATATATTAAGTGATAGTTAATTGCAAGTAACATGTTTTTAACAATTATTAGTTTTTGTTGTATTTGTGATAGGAATGGCTAGAAGAAGGCGTTGAAGTCTTTGATATTCTTTTAGAATATGTATAATTATATTAAAATGTATAAATATTTTAGTCTATAAGAATATGTATGAATTTGTATTTAAGTTCGGATGTATAAGAATATATTAGAATGTTTGTTATTTTTCAACATCTGATTCAAAAATTTTGTTATTCTTCACTAATATTCTATTAGAATAAAATTCTGAAAGAGCATCATTCTAACAAAATAATATTCTATTAGAATAAAATTCTGAAAGAGCATCATTCTAACAAAAAATATTCTGAAAGAATAAAATCGGTAAAAAATTGAAATTGAATTAATTAAAAAATTCAGATTTTTTTTTAAAAATTAGGATAATTAATCATCCCTAAAAATTCGAAAATTTCCTTTTATAAATGTAGTTAATCTTCCAAAATACCCTTTTGCTTAAAATTGTGTAATTATATGCTACATGTTACCCCATTGTAATATCATACACTCTTAAATCATGTCCATTGATTAATTTCATCCATTAGTCCATATCTATGCATTCTGGCACACAATACTTAGTAAAAACAAAATAACCTAAGCCTATATATATATATATATATATATATATATATATATATATATATATATATATATATATATATAATATATATATATATATATATATATATATATATTAAAGAAATGAATTTCAGGAATACTGAACTTGTCATTTTTTTTTGCAGAATTAGTTCCTGTATTAGTGTTGGGCTTCAAAGTTATGAATAGTAAATTTGGATGTTTTTTTGACAACTTTGCTTCTCATTCTTTAGCCATTTTGATACTTTTGGTCCTTGCAATCAATATTTTTACACTTTTTAGAAACCTTTTAATATTTAAAGTTTAACTACAAAACTTTAACGGTTTGACAACTTTGATCCATTTTCTAAAAAGTTGTTAACTCCTATCCCTTTAATTCTTTAACCATTTTGACACTTCTGGTCCTTACAGTCAAAAGTTTTATATTTTTTCATAAAAATATGAAAAAAACGGTCCGGGGCAAAACCTGGGCTTTTTATCCTTGCACTTTCTACGTCTGTCATATTTATCGATTCAGAAACAACATTGAAAGCTTCTGGCCCCCACATAGCGGGGGTAACCTTTCTAGTTAAAATGAAAATTGTTTGTTGGCTTCAATAAAACAGTTTTTAGGTTTGGATAGTAGGAATGTCAAAAAGTCCTGTGGGACCCTAATCTCGAATGGGGAATATTTGTTTAAAAAATCGGTGACGGGGGCCGGGGGCAATGTTAACCCCTGTTTTAGTTTCGGGGGTGAGGGCGGGGGTTGGTATCCCCGCCCCGAACCCCCAATGGGGACCCCGTTA